AAAAAAAAAAAAAAAAGAACAGCAAGAAGAGGTGACTGACTGCATTTTTATTCTAAAGCTTATCTAAGGGAGTCTCAAGAGATTGTTATAAGAAAGAAGTGGCAGTCCAGGGACTGTATTGGGGTTACAATTCCTGAGGAAGGCCATAGCTGGGCAGAGCTCACCCCTTAAGCAACTCTCTACCTAGAAACAGAAGGAACATAGGTAGCTCCACAAACACACAGAGCACTGCCTCTTGTGGTTCCTGCCTGTGAAGAGCCCATTTCCCCCTCCCCCAGCTCCTGTTAATCCTTCCAGAATCTAAGTGTGCCACAAAGCTTTATGAATGCTAGGTGACAGGCCCTGGGAATGCAAAGGGAAGTACAACAGAGCCCCTGCTCGCAGTCTAGTCTAGCAAATAGGGCATCAGACAAAGGGACCTTCTCCTGGCCCAGCTCTTTTGTGCCAGGAATTACCTCTACTCAGCATATTCCTGATATGACGACTATTTATAAATTGGTCTCCCACACACTCTACTTTTCAGTGAGCTCCAAGAGGGCAGAGAACATCTTAGCTATCTTGGTTTCTCTAGCACCTAGCACAATGCTTCCAAAAGTAGAATAAACATGGTGGTGTCCGTGATGCAGACACTCCTAACTTTCCAGATAGAGGTTATGAAACTGCCTAGGGCTACTGTTCAACTGGCTTTGTAACCCCTCTTCACTAGAAGGCTCTAGTGACTGACTGCACGGTCCATACCCCCAGACCCTGGTCCCATCCCCAGGGACCATCCTCCCCCAAACAGGCCCCCATTTAACAAGACCTCAGCCTCCAAAAGGACTTCAGTCTTTTCCCATTTTCTAATAATTTGGGCAGAACCCAAACACAATGGGCTGCCTTGTAAAGGAGAGTTTACCAGTCCTGGCTGGCTGACAATAGTGAGTGGAGGTAAGTGGGATAGTGGTTTTATAATTGATGTGATGTTCCCATTGCAACGGAAAGAAAACCCAAACCCTTTCTGAGACTTATAGGCCTAGTGTGATCCAGTTCTAGCTTCTCTCCAAACTCTTCAGTCCCTGGCTCTGCTTTCTTTCCACTGGTTCCCACCTCAGAGCCTCTGACGGTGCTGTGACCTCTCCACCTGGCTTCCCACAGCATCCCATCCCTTTCCTTATAAATTTTCTCACAATTTATACCAAGTTTTAAAAAAATATGTTTTTATTGATTTTAGAGAGAAAGGAGGGGAGAGGGAGAAATAGAGACATCAGTGATCAGCTGCCTCCTGCACGGTCCCCACCCGGGATCGAGCCTGAAACTCTGGCATGTGCCACACCAGGAATCGAAACGGTGACCTCTTGGTGCATGGGGTCAATGCTCAACCACTGAGTCACACTGGCTGGGATATACTAAGTTTTTTGCACTATGTTCTCTCTCAAACCATGATCTTGAGAACTGGGACTTTGCCAGCAGCCAGTATCTCTGCACATAGTATCTTATTAATATTTGCCAAATTAAAAAAAAAAGGGGGGGAGGTCCTTCATTTGCACTCAGCTCCTAGACTAACCATCTTTCCTGATGGTTCCTACACCTCGTCAGTCACCCATCTCTTCATTCCCAAGTTGCATTCTCCAAAACTCTCCATTACCTGCCCTCAAAATTTCCCACTTTATGAATCCCACTAACTCATCTATTGACACCCCCAACATTCCTCTCACCCCCTTACAATTCCATAAACCCCGAAACAACCTTTCACCGTAAACCTCTCCGCCCAGGAATTCCCCTTAAACCCATCCCTCCCGCCCCAGGAGGGTCTCCTAAAACCCACCACCCCATAAACTTTCAATCCGTTCTATTATTTTATTATTTTATTATTTTACTTAATCCTCACCCGAGGGTATTTTCTCCATTGCTTTTCGAAGTGGAAGGGGGCGAGAGAAATGTCGATGTGAGAGAGACACATCGATTGGTTGCCTCCCACACGTGCCCGGAGCGGGGCGGGGATCGAGCCTGCAAACCAGGTACGTGCCCTTGGCCGGAATTGACCCCAGGACCCTTCCATCCGCAGGCCCACGCTCTAACCACTGACGCAAACCGGCTAGGGCCAATCTGACCCATTTTAACCCCATAAACCCTTTTTTTCGCCCTTCCCAAGCCTCCCCACACCCCCCCTCC